ATTATGTCTCTGTATTTGTTTTTTGTTTTGTTTTTAAGAAAATGGTTTGCCTTGAACCCAAGGCTGCTTTATTTAGCCCTTGGGTACTTGGATTAAAGATGTGTGGGATTCCCCTCTGTATGCTGTGAATATGTTTTAATACCATTTTTTAATTAAGAAGGTGATTTGGCCAATAGTCAGGCAGCATAGAGCCTGGCAGGAAATCCAAGCAGAGAGACAGGGAGAAAGAAGGCAGAGTCAGGGAGACCGCCAACAGCCACTGCTGGAGAAGCAAGATGTGAGGTAACAAGCCACTAGCCTCCTGGTAAAATATAGAGTAATAGAAATGGGAAAATTTATTTGTAAGAGCTAGTTAATAATAAGCCTGAGCTAACAGTCCACAAAAAACAGTTTGTAATTAATATTAAGCCTCAGAGTGATTATTCAGGAGCTGGGGGGCAAGAGAGAAACCTCCAGTTATAGACATGTACACCTTCGCACCTGGCTCCGTGGTTTTATGTACATATGAACTTACTGCAGGAGGCAAAGGACTCTACATCTGACCAAACACAGATTCCTTTCAGGCGCCCTGCCTTGCAGCGCTCGGTAGGTCTGCATTCCAACCCTCACAATGCCTGTTCAGTTTTGAAATGCTTTATGGGTTTCTGAAGGGAAGGGAGCTGGTTCTGCATTCAGATCCGCACTCCAGGTTCAGAGCCTTGGTGCTGTCTGGTTCTGTCAGTGGAAGTCGGTGTTTCCTTCCATGGTTTCTAGGGCTTTCATCAATTACCACAAACTTGATGGCTTGAAAGACCAAAAATATATCTCAAGTCCAAAACTGAGGTGTCAGTAGGGCCACCCACCTTTTTTCCCATTTCCAAGCTTCTAGACATTTCCTGGCTATGGCTGTAAAGTTGCGTGATCTCTTCCCTACCATTACCCGTGTGAGCACGCCTGCTGGATTGAGGCCCACCTGGATAATGAAAGGTGATCTCATCCTGAGATCTTTTAATATTTGGGGACCCCTTTCCCCAACACTCACAAGTTCTAGGAATTGGGATCCAGACTTACTTTTTGGGAGGCCACCGTCCTACCTTCTGTCCTTTCTATGTTCCCCATTTATGACTGGTCACCTGTACCCAGGGTTTTTATGATTTTTGTATGGCTGTGGCGAGATCAAACCAGCTTGCCCTTCACTCCCCAATGCTCTGTCCTCCAAGATGAACACCACTGGTCCTTCCAGCCTTGCTCTCAGCTGGCTGACATTCTCCTGATCAGTCATCCTGGGTGTGCCTCTGACGGACACAGAAAAGGGAGAATGCTGCATTTATCCCTGACGACCGAGAAATGAGGTCATGTCTCTTCCACTTGCTAAATAGGTGACCAAGACATCGGTTTCTTTGAAATAATGGCGACACTGTTGCAGAGTCAAGTGGTTGTCACTTGCACACCCATCCCCAGGTTTAGCCCTGCTGCTAATCCCACTGGGATCACGTTAGCATATGGGGAGTCCTGTCACAAATTCGCCCTCGTTTTGAAATGACCGTGTATAATGAGCTCCAGATCATTTTCACACATGATCTGTTTCTTTAATTCAAAAAAGTATTTGTTTGGTGTCTGTTAGTAAATGCAAAAGAAGAGCAACATCAAGCCTGTCTCTAGGCTGATCACCATTTACAGAAGCTCATGCCTTTAATCTCAGTACTCAGAGGCTGATGTCAGGAGGCTTGCCATGATTTTGAGGCCAGCCTGAGCTACGTAGTAAGTTTTAGGTCAGTTTTTTGGCCAAAGAGTCAGTGTCTATCCCGTGAGAGCTAGCTGTGAACTAAGAGGGACATGGATTAACCGAAATTACGAACTGAAGTGACTGGGAAAAGGCTGGGCTGGGTTGATTTGATCTCTCAAAGTGGTGAGACTAGGCATAGGAGACAAAGTTAGGCTGTAAAGCTAGGCTCCCATGCCGAAGCCGCCTCCTCCTCTGCTGAGCCGCAATGGCAGTAACCTCAGATGAACTTCTTCCACACATGCTGTGTTCATTGCTTTCTGCTCCTGTCATGCTTCACTGTGTGCAGTAGGTGCAAACCTGGTAGAACTTGGAAATGCATATAAGTTGGATAATAAATATTGGCTGTTTAGTTATGTGTGGTGTTAATACTTCACACTGAATGTATTAACAGTAAATATGTGCTTCATGGCACAATTTTTTTAACACTATCCTCTCCTTTCTTTTTTTTGTTTGTTTGTTTGGGTTTTTTAAGACAAGCCTTGCTATGTAGTCCATGCTGATCTTGAACTTGCAATCCTCCTAGACGCTGGGTTCACAGGTGTGCTCCACCACACTGGCTGTACTATCTCCCATGTTAATCCTTTGGTACTGTTAAGGATGCTTTTCTGATTGTGTTTGAATTACTGAGTTCCTATCTGAGCAGTCCCTGGCTCACAAATATAATTGGGGTAAAAATCCCTTTGGTTCCTATCTAATGCCCTGATGGTGATGGGCTTCACTGTTCGCCATGGATGCCACCCTTCTAGGTTGCTGCGGAGGTCCAGAAACCCATGCGCCTCTGCAGCAGGAGAAGACTGTGACCGCTATAAACACGGTGTTCCACGTGAAGTGACCCACTAGGAGGTAGAAGGAGAATGAAACATGAACTCTGTCCGATTCAAGTCTCCCTGCTCCAACCTTTGGCTCTAATCACTCTGGCTTCTTCATGTCGCACATGTACCTTGTGGCTCTTTTCACAAAGTCCCAGAGCAGTCGTAATAAAGTCAAGTGCTGTGAGATCCAGCGTTCGCAAATGGAGAGGTTTGGTCCTCAGCATGCGCTGTGCTCAGTCTACTCTAATGTGTACGAGTTCCTGGATTTATAACTTTAAACTTTGGGTTGGGAGACCTCTTCCGAGAGTCTACCTGCCTGGGGAAGCTCATGGAGTAACCCTTCAGCGGACAGTTTCCTCTAAAGACCTCATTGTCTACAAATAGGGAGTTTCCCTGCACCCTAGACCATGCGTGGAGGGTTCCCAGGCACCTTGCAGAAACAAAACTAACAAAACTGGTGTTGCATTGCTCATCCTGCCTTCGCTGTCATTTTTATTCCTCTCTCCTGGGGATCCTCACACATCCTGGTTTCTGTTTTACTGTCCCAGTTAAATACCAAGTGCTGTGTTCTTGGTGGGTGTCTAAAACATTTGGTTTCCTTTAGTACATCTTTAGTTCACGACCTTGCTCACTCCCCAGTGCCTGTAATTTTACAGCATACCAGATTTACCTTTTAGATCCTATGAAACCATAGCTCTTGAGAATGTAATAGCAAGCTTTTATATTGTGCTTCCTTCTTTTATTTTATGTGAAAATATCCCCTCCAGGCTATTTTTTAAGTGCCTTTTTTCTTTAGGCAGTTGGGACAGTCAAAGTGAAAGTTAGTAATTTCTCCACGCCCTTCGTTTCACTGTGGCCCTGTTATTCTTGAGAGTACTTCCAAACTGCACAGCCAAGCGAGATGTCATTGGCTTCATGGCTCTAAGTTATGATTGATCTCTTTTTAATTAGATATATTTAGTGTCTGCCATGTTGGATTTCAGATAGTATCTTTCAGATACACCTTGAACTTTGACCGCATTCATCCCCCTCCTTCCTCTAGTTATCCCTCTCCTTCCCTTCTGCCCCTCAGTCTCCTTTCTTCTTTCGTGCCGTTCATCACGGGTGACAGATGCACAGACAGGTGGATATTTTGATATAGCCACAAAAGGTGATATTTGTCTTTCTGTACCTAGATTATCTAATTTAATATGGTGATTTCCTGTCCTAGTCATTCTCCTGAAAGTAGCATAATGTTGTTGTTCTTGGTGGCCGAAGAAAGTCCCATCGTGTGCATACACCACATTATCTTTATCCATTCATCTGGCCGACACCTAGGCTGTTCCCCTCACTCGGCTGTCGTGGTGGTGCTGCAGTAAACGTGGATGTGGGAGCATGTGTGTGGTGTGCTGGCTTAACGGTGGTCAGATATGTACCCAGAATGGCAGCTGCACATGTAGTTTCTTGAGATCCTCCATAGTTCTGTAGTGGCTAGAGCATTTGCATTCCTATCAGCAATGTAGAAAAACGGGCTAATAAAGAGGTAGTCTTGAAAAATGATTTAGAAATGGCTAATAGACATTTAAAACAATGCCCTTGGCCTTCAGGGCAATACAAATTCAAACCACTCTGAGTTTTCATCAGATAGCATGGCTGCTGTTTAAGAAAAAACAGCAAGTACTGGTGCCTGATCTTTCTGTGGGGAAATCTGTTTCAGATCTTCGCACTTAGGCCTTATCTTGAGAGCCAGGAAGGAAGAGCAAACAGCTGTGCATTGACTTCTTCCTCATGTGCACGGGGAAGAAAAGGACCTCACGAGAGAAAGACTTTCCCTCAAATACCGCCCCATCTTGCTCTCCCAAGCCCATGCCTCGTTGCCTCAGTGGGGCGGGCCACAATGTACATTCATCCCCGAGAGCTCATGACATGAATACATTGCCATGCCCACATCGAGGCCAAACAGCTGGCCTCGCAAAAGGGATGCATTTTAGATAAACTTGGACTTATCCTTGGCATTAATTTTGACTGGACATCTTAAGAGAAACAACCTTATATATTGCTCTTAAGTTTGATATTTCCCCCTTAATCTTCCTTTCCCATTTAGTTCTAGAAGATGAAATGTCAAGGCCAAGGTATTAGGTAAAATACTTGGACGATCATGGGGTGATGATATCCTGGCCCATAACAGGAAGCAGAGACTCAGCTCCTTGGGTGTGTGGGTCACTGGTGTCCGCATCCCTGTTTTGTGGTCAGTGTCTCCATGTAAACATGACAGCTGTTGTCTCTTACAACAGTAGTAGATTGCAGCGACCACATCCAAGTCCGCGGTTAAGTTCAATCACAAAATGTTTGTGCCGCGCCTACGAAACTTCTGCCTCTGTCAACAGCGTGCAAGTCATTGTACCTATTCTTGAGAATTTCTCATCTTTGTTTACCTTCCTTAGGTTTCCACTGTATCCAAAGGGAGGGGAGAAGCTGCAGTTTGATTACGGTGTCTACCTTCTGAACAAGAACATAGCACAGGTAAGTGACTTCTCATATCTCTTGGTCCATTGTTAACATTCTTTCCATAATTACCCACCTCAGCCAACCCTTTACTTTAGCCAGTTACAGGGCAGTGCCGTTTGTCAGCCATTGTCTTATTCTGTGATGTTAGTGTGAATTTGGAGACGCAGTGGGTCTGTGTTGGAATCCATCTCTGACTGCAACCGTCCTTTTCTAAGTTCTTCCTGGAGGGCTTGGGCTTGAATGTGTGGTCTGAATAATCCCTTGGCTCTGCTGCTTGATTGCTAATAGCTTTCTCCTCTTAGACCCCTTCTGGGGACTCGTTTTGCATTATTGTTTATGAAGGAAAAGTTTAGTGCTTTTGGCAAGTCCGTAATGGTCTCCTCACCTCATTATCCAGGGCCCGAAGGGAAAGACCAAGCCTATGTTCTTTCTAGCCCATCTTGGATTCTTGTGGCTCCTTCAGCGTCCCATCAGGTTGTATCTGTCCACGGACCTAGGACGGGTACCGGGTGCCTGATTCTGTGTTTTCCCGAAAGCTGTCCATAGCATTTCTTTAGTGCAGTTGGCTCTACGTCAAGAGGTTGACGTTCCACGAATTTTTCAGCTGCAGAGGGAGGCCTGCTTTGGCGCTTTGGATGCCGTCCGATTGCAGCACCACGTGGTGGAGTAGCCACAGTTTGCTCTTCCTTAAAGACATTGTCAGCTGGGTCCTCGGATCTTTGCATTTTATAGATGTAATAAGTTTTGCAATGCTTGGCTTTTACAGGCCTCGGTGGCCGTTCTTCCATATGAATCTAAAAGCCGATCAGACTGGAATTATTCTTCCATATGTGTTATCTTTGTTTTCCTTCCCCACAACAACCTGAGTTTAATGTTGGGTTTTTTGAAATGTGATTTTTATGAAGATCGTTATCCTTGTCTGAAATTGGATCCCGTTTCTAGTTTGCCACACTGCATTAACCACTTGCTTCCTAGCCCAAGCTACGCATGCTCAGGATCACACCACTTTCACTCTCACCTTCATGCTAGGGCGAGCGTCCACACGCACAGGCTCTGCCCGTGACTCACCTTTCCTTGAGCCCTCTTCCCACCATTGATGCTTTTCCTCACTCCGTTTTCTGTCAGAGAAGCGGTACTTTAGTATCAAAGCTGTCTGGCTCACACACGTCTGTCACAGTTGTGTCATTCCATGAAAAAGACCATGCACTGACATGCTGGTCCAGTTCCAAAGCACCACACTAGTATTACATCAAGGAAGATGAAGTAAATTAGTAAGTAAGCAAATCGGACAGCATGTCCAGGGCGCTCAGCTAGAGCGGAGAGAGCGTAAGTATGGAGAGCGTGTACACACATACATACGTGTGGAGAGAGCACATATATAGAGGAGAGAGTGTACGGTTTGTCTAGCAGTAAAAGCAGTGCTGTTTAGAAGAACGAATTTCTGAGTTCAGAGGTTCTCTCCTGCCCTGTGTTTCTGCTGCTGGATTTTGCCCTGTGCATGTAGGCACTGGATTTGGAAGCTTCCAGGTGCAACCTGCCCTGTTTCAGCACTGGGATCTCATAAATAAATAAATATCCTTATCTCGCATAAATATACACCAGCATCAGACTCAAGACTGCATGGACCTGTCTTGTTCCCAGCAGAAATGGAAAGTGGTATGAAGATACTCTAGTGGTAGCCCAGCTGGAAGGGCAAGTGGGAGCTGCCTGTGTGCGGTGGCGGGAAACGCGCAAGTCAGTGCTCTGCTTCGGCACACAAAGGGAGCGCTTAGTTAGGAGCACTTAGTTAGGAGCTCTTCCCAAGTAGCCTCTGACTTCCTAACCAAGCCCAGACCACAGTGTGTGCTCAACCAATGTTCTCATCTGCGTGAGAAGTAGCCTACCTGTGGTGATTGTGTGTTCAGCTTTGTGTTCTTTGGGGACAGGCAATGGCTTGTCTGCTCTAGCCATAGGAGATGGTCGCTTGCTCCCTGGTGTCTTTTTGTTTCCTCCAAACAGACTTCTGTAGCTTTGATATATGGTGCAGGAAGCCAGTTTTAAGCACACGAAAGAAACTTTTAGCAAATCTGTGGCCCGAGAAGTTCGGGAACATTTCTTTTTGTCTCGACCTTCCTGGCATCACTTCTCCGCATTCCAAGTTGGAATAAAGCTGTTAATAACTGTGCTTTGTGAGCCAGTCTCACATCAATCCAGTGTGTAGTCTTGGAAGGATTATCTGTATACTGTAACGCATGTTGTCAAAGAAGAATTTGTCTTCTCAGCCAGTCCCGTTTCTGCCCCATCTCTAGAGATGTGAACAAGTCCTGCCATTAAGACAGCCCCACCTCCGTGATTTACAGGCCACGTTAGTGGAGGTGGATGAAAGCGCTGGCCTGTGTTACAGTGCCAGAGAAAAGGAGTGAAGTCATTTACTGCCGCATCCGTCGCGTGGTTGAGGGTTTGAATAGTCAATAGGACCTTTCACCACAACCAGAAGTCGCAGTAAAACCACTTTTCTTGGGGAGGAAATGACAGAACTTAGTAATATTCGTTACTTCAGGGTCTGGGATCAGTCCAGCCTGAGTTCTGAAAGCACAGACCTTCAAGCAGAACCCTGAAATATCATGAGAAGAGCAGAGAGCCCAGCCAGCCCGCTTGCCCTCTGCATGCCACCGCAGTCTGGGGTGTGCGTGTGCTGAGTCAGTCCTGCACAGTGGCTGCTAACGTCTGTCCAGAGCCAGTGCCCCTCAGTAGCAGATAGCCTTCACTGTCGGGCAGCAGGTGATGCTCAGGCCCGAGTCCTGTATTGCTGTCCATGCCTGGAATCCTCACGCTAGGGAGACTGAGACAGGAGGATCGCTGTGAACTCCAGACCACATATTGGACCACATAATAAGTTCCAGGCCAGCTGGAGCTAGTAACATGTGTGTGTGTGTGTGTGTGTGTGTGTGTGTGTGTGTGTGTATGTATATATATGTATATATAATATATTATATAATATAATATGTATGTATATATTATGTTATATTATATATTATATATTATATGTATATATAATATATTATATAATATAATATATGTATATAATATATATGTATATATATAATTTTTTTAAATGAGGTCCTGTGCCTGGTGATGTCTCTCAGTTCATGGAGCTCATGCCTAATAAGTTTTAAGGCTCTGGGTTCTACGCCCAGTACTACCAAGAAATAAAGATTCTTGCTTCATTAGACTTCTAGTTGAATGAGGAAAGGCATACAGTAAATAAAAGCATTTCGGATTATAGTAAGTAATGTGCTAGAGATTAATTAAGTAATATAATACAAAATAACTTGAGAGGGACCTGCTTTCGATAAAGCTGTCAAGTAAACCTTATTGAGGAAGTAGTTGTTGAGCTAAGGCCTGGATGATGGCTGAGAAACCAGCTGTGCAAAGAATAAAGGACGGGAAGTTCCGTAAGGCCACGGCCACAGCAGGGACAAAGGCCAGGGCTAGGAAAAGACTGAAGAGGCGCATGTGGCTGGAGCGTAAGTGTTCTCCTGAAGAGGCGAGCGGGTCTCTGCTCCCTCTCCCCTGTCTCTCTCTTCCCTCCTCTTTCCCTTCTCTCAATAAACTCCTCACTTAAGAAAACAAAGGGGACCACAGAACAGGGGGAACCTTTAAGGGGCACAGGGGAAACGTCATCCTAGTTTTGAACTCACATGGAAACGAGGGATGATGACATTTGTTCGTTCATATCTCTTGCTGGTCAGTAGGCTAGGTACAAATGAAGAGAGGACCGGCGGTACCATATGGGGGATGAATTCATGGGCTGACTACAGAAATTAAGAGGGAAAGAAATTGTCAAGAATGTGGTCTGGGTCTTATGTACGAGAAATAATGCTATTTATTTTAAAAGGAGGAGTCCAGAGATGAAGGAAGCAAATCTGCTTTGGGAGTTAAGTCCGAGTTAATTTTTAGAAATTGGGATAGGTTCATTAAGAGGACAAAGGGATACCACTGAGCTGTCTTTCCGAAACAAAATAGTTTTTTAAAAAGTGCCCATGGTGAGGCAGTAGAGTGTGCTGGATATGTAAAATCCCCATGCACCTTCCTGATAGTGTGTCACGTGAAGGAGCCCTGCATGGCTCACTCTGTGTGGCCCAAGGATCACGAGAGGCCCTTGAGTTGACGACGGGACTGATACTTTCTCACGTAGCAGCCTCTGGCATCAGAGAATGGTCCTTCAGACTTTGGGTATTTGATAAACATTTTCTCAAAAATCAATGAAGTGGGCCTGCCACTTAAAGGAAATGAACTGATGGTAAAACTCAAGATTTTGAATAAAAGATAGCACTCAGAGCCAGGCATGGCAGCACACATTGTGATGGCACCCGGGAGGCCAGACAGCAAGACCCTGCCTTCAACAGCAGCAGCAGCGAAAGACCTGCGTTTGCCACCAAGACTGGCAGCTTTCCAGTCCTAACAGCTGTTTTGTTTTCTCAGATATTATATATGACACATATATATTCTATAAGCTAAGTTTTCATGATGGGCATTACATATGAAGTCATGCACAGGTCAGGATCCTTCAACAGCAAGAAAGGCCAATTAAAGAACTGCCGTGTCTAAGATTGTGGAAAGTTTTCACAAGGCTCCGTGTTTCTCATTGCTACTATTGCTTGACAAGTCTGGGAGTATGTCGGAGAAAATTACCTCCAGGTCCTTATTAGATACGCCTCTATCTTCTAGCTGTAAATCTAGGTAAGGCCGGATTTTCTTACCGAGCATCATGGTAAGAAAATGAATGCAAAAAAATCAAACTTCAGTTGTTTTCATTTAAAGTAGTAAATTTCCATTGTTTCTTTAAAATTTATCTTTACACGTATGTGCGTGTAAACCTCGTGCACATGGAGGCTGGAGGAGTGTCAGGTCCCCGGAGCTGGAGCTGCAGTTGTGAGCTGCCTGATATGGGTGCTGGGAACTAAGCCCAGGTCTGCCATCTCCCTGGCTCCTGTTATTTTTTTAATGAATTAATAATTAAGGCTTATTTAATT